TGCAGCTCCCAGCAGCAGGATGGTGCCCTGAGGTGATGCTCCTGTGACAGCATTGCCCATGGCCAGGAGTGGTTCTGCTGTGCCAGGGTCCTGACTGTGTGGTATAGCTTAATTACCACACTGGGGGGGAGTACAGGTGTGAGGTCAGGAGTGTAAGAAGATACTGTGATGGCAACAGGAAAAATCTTCACCAAGTGAAATGAATTTTATATGGATCCTATAGCAGGGGAAGATGGATGAATAGAGCAACCTCCTTTGCTGCCTCCTCCGCTGATTTTCAGTTGTTATATCATGACAAAAAGAGCCAGTAACATATTTCTTATGGGAAGCAGTTGCTCCTTTTCCACACTTCTTTTTGAGTAAAAGATCTTGGCTTTCTAAATGTAAATATTTTAGGCAGTGTTTACTTTACAGCAGTTTGCAGTATTGTGTTATAATAGTTTTGCAGTACATTTAGCCAAATTTTCTTTGAAAACATTTTCTTTTCAGAATTCATAACTGCATTTATTATTTCACTAATTTTCAATGAGAAAATTTATTACTCTAAACAAGGGAGTCATTATTTGGAGTTTTTAAAATACAAAATACCTCATTAAAATCTGGAGCATTTCTAGAAAAACAGCTGAAGCAGTTCTGTGAGTGGTCATTTTTTTGTGATGATCACGCACCCTTAGATGTGGACTAAATTTCAACACGTACTGCCCTCCAAAAATAATTGTCTTATTCCTCATCTGCTAGCTCCTCCAATACTATTTCACTATGAAGAAAGTATCTGTAGTTCTCAGGAATGCTGGGAGGTTTCCTCTGGGAGGGAAACTGTGCCCAGAATCGCAAAAGGGGGGAGATACATTCACAGAAATATCCATGCAATGAAATACAGTCCAAAGCACGAGCACTTTGGAGGTTCAGCAAGCCCAAAATTACAACAATAATGTATTGTTTCCTTGCAATCTCTTGCTTTTTTCTCAATTTCTTAGGGACATTTATTCTGAGCTTGCTTCAGATCTCATTCTTTAATGGTGGTCAAGGAGAAGGTGCTTACACTTGTTCCTTTGCTGTGTGTGTTTCTCAGGGTGCTGTGAGCTGCTCCTTGGTGCACCCTGGCCCTGGGCTTGCTTTGGCTTTCTCCTTGTCATGCACATAGGAAATACGCAAAGCTAAAACCCCTAATCAATGAAGCATGGACAGCTGCTCTGCATGTGTCCTCTGCAGTACCTCTTAACTGTGCTTTTCCTTGCATCGGAAGGCAGGCTATCTAGACCCAGAAGTGCTTCTCATTAGACAAGACCTGCCTTTTCTTGCTGGGGATATTTACAGAGGGCATCTCTTGGGCAAAGAGGTGTCTCCACCACCTGAGCAGATGTCACACGGTGACTCCCTGTCAGGACTCATTGCCAAAGGTCAAACAAACCTGGAAAACCTTGAGCTGTAGCTGGGTCAGAATCAAGTGACAGTCGCCAGCTGCCTGAGAGCAGACCCTGCTGACTCTTCGCTGGTGTCATGGGTGGCCTGTGCCTCTCACCCTGTCTGCTTTCAGCAGGGAACTGGTGAGTGATCTCTCCCCAGGTCAGGAGGGAGAGTCACCCATCACGAATGCAATGCTGTATTTATTACCTTCTAGCTTCACTGTGAAGGCAACAAGGTTGCATGTGAGCGAGCAGCTACAAAAGAAAAATCTAATTAGGAACTGAAGTCATAAATCTGTGGCAGTTTGTTTTCATCACGGCTTTATTTGATATTTGCGTAGAAAAAATGAACAGAGTCAAAGGCAAAACTTGCTGTAATGAACAAAGTGATAGGTTCATCTGTTGTTTCCTCATTGGGCTGCAGGACCTTGAGCCATGCAAGGACTGATTCCCTCCATGCTGCTGGACAAGCTGGGCGCAGGGTTTTGGGTCAGTCTCCTGCACATGTAATTTTAAGTGCCTAACTCTACTGACACTGCTTGCTGGGCTCTGCCAAGCTGTTCTTTACCAAATCTTCCTGCTCTGAGAAGTCTTTGGGGTTGTGCTTGTTCATGGACACATTTCATCCTCTGGAGAAAATAAAGAATTTGGAAAAACTAAGTCTGCAGCTAGGTGAGCAAGTAAGAGCTGTGTCAAAAGTGCTCAAAGCTAGCCAGAGAAGAGGCTGGAGGCAGGAGGAAAAGAAAATAATCTGGATTGCTTCTATCTCCCAAAAGAAAATGATCCTAGGAAGAAAAAAAATCAAACAGTGACATTGCCTGGATTCCTAAGCAGCTTTCCTGGGAGCTCCAATAGCCTGGGTCAAGAAATACTTGAAGCTCTGAGTGCACTGGGTCCTGGTGCAAATGTCTGCACCCAACCCACAAAGGAGATTCATGCTCTGACTGCTTCCCCCCATGATGTGTATCAGGAGAAATTATAGCCTGGGCCCATCTTCAAGCAGCTTTCTATTTTTACAGCCCCACATACCAGCTGCCTAGTCCACAACAGGCTGGCAGCAGTGTCCTGGCAGGCAGCCTTGCCCCATGTTTGTGACCACTGTACTGTGAAAATGACCTGGAGTAGGCTCACGGAGACAACTTCTTGTTCATATTACAGCAGAAATGTCATTGTCACTGCCAAAAAAAGACAAGAGGCCACCAAACAATAACACAGCCATGAATGAAGGCTATAAATATGGACATGGATAGCAGATAACTACAGGATTTTACTTATACATATGGCATTCAGCTTGGAAAGAGTCCCGTAGGTCAATTTGTTGCTTGTTTGATGGGGTGAAGGAGGTAGGCCCAGTAAATAAGAGGCTGCCCTACTTACAACCCTCTGGTGACTGTGGGCATTTTGAACTTCTGTGTCTTATTTCTGGAAACCTTGCTCCAGTCCTGCTCAAACTCCAAAATGAAGCAAAGTCTGTCCATGCCTGTGGCTCCTGATGGCTGTTTATCTGCATCACCCATCTGTTGCACTGTTGGCCACCAAGCCTTCCTCAAGGGTGACATCTCAGAATGGCCTATCGCCGCTTTTCCTAAATCCTGTGTTCAGCTGGTGCCTCCCAGCACTTCAGCTGCAGCAGAGCCACCGTGTGTCCTGGCAGCTGAGGGCAAGGGAGAGCAGCCGAAAACCCTCCTGGGTTCATGTGTGCCGGTACAACAGTAGGAGAAGCACAACACAGAAAAGGGCAGGAAAAGACTTTGTTCTTGCATTCCTGATGGCCTTTAAGTGAAGTGCTAAATCCAGTTCTACTGAACATTAATTTTGTTTGTTCTCCTGCAAGGCAGCTGCATGGCGTCCAGAGGAACAGGCTGGACTCGGGTACAAATCTCAGTTTTGCTGCTTTACACTTCTTTTCTGTGTGTTAAGTCTGATTTTTCACTGTCAGAGGATGAACACTTTTATTCAGTGGGAGATGAATGAACTTTCTAGAGGGTGTGACTGGGACCTGCAGTACACGTAGGTTAAATCAAAGACCCTTCCGTGAACACCTGAGATGCTCACCTCTTGGCTGGCTTTTGTATCCTTCATGTGTATTTTTCCTTTCTGCAGGAAATGGGGACTTCATAGGGCCCTGGTTTTGTGCTTCATGACTTAAATACTGTATTTTAAAGAAAGCACGGTAAAGCATCTCTGCCTTCAGAAAAAGGTGAAAAAAGGGATCTTACGAGCAGTGAGTGATTTGTGGCACCGGCACTGATGATATCCAACTCGTTTTCTTACTTCTCTATTAAGCCAGCTTGACTAATGCCCCACAGCTGGAGTGTCTCCTACTCCTCTGTGCCTTCACAAGAATAGTCCAGCTGTGCCTTTGCTTGTTGCAACACTTTGTCTATGTGCAAAATCCTACAGATCAGTATAAATGGCATTATTTAATTGGGATGTGCCTTTTAAAATGAGAAAGAGCCAAAAACTAAGTAAAATATGATCTTTTTTAAGGATTTTATGGAGGCACACACTTGCATGGAAGTGCAAGGGGTTTTGAGAAATGACTCTGCAGATATGTTATGTTACTGGAGTGGCAGAGCCACGATGTAATACTCTGGGTGGCAAAACAAGCAAATGAAGAGCCCCCAAGTAGGTATTTCACAGCAGGGAAAGCTGAATCTTCACTGCTTTATTCCATCATGAATGAATGCAAATTAATACTGTGTGTGATGTGGAAAATTTGATCCCAAGTTTGGAGTAATGGCGTAAGCTGCCTTCCAGGGAGCAGTCCATTCTGAATCCTAAACTGAAATCTCTGCAGTGTTTTTGTGACATGATATTGTGCTGAAATACCTCTCCTAGAAAGAAGAGCAAAAAGATAGTGTTTTATTAATTTGAATCTGTCCTTCACTGAAAGAGAGCACCTCAGGAAGCTGATAAAAACTCCTTTAAAATCATTATGATTCCCAGCAGTACTATGATGGTAATAAACCAATACTTTTCATTAAAAATATGATTTACTGAATGCTCTCAGCTGCCAGTGGATTTCAGATGGGCTAGCAATGCTCAGCTCTGCCTTAAAGACAGTCTGCTCCTGCTTTCAGATGCACTGGGGGTTCTGTGTGTGACACAACATTGAAAACTAAGTCTTTCTGCCAGCCCATACGAACAGAGCTGGATACTGAAGGAAGAAGGAAGCAGGATCTGCTCTTTAACATAGGTAACAGACCTCTGACCCTGACATATGGACAGCTACCATCCTGTGTACACACATTTTGGACTCAATCTCAAAGGTCTTTTCCAACCTGAATGATTCTGTGATTAATTCCCACTGTTCATACTACAGGAAAGCAAAGACAGGGCAGCTTCATGGCTGAGTGCACCCCACAGTTGCAGGGTGTTCAGTGTCTTCATCAGCAGTGTAATAACCTCTCCCCAAGTGTGGGCAGCACCAGTGTGCTGGCATTTTATAAACAATTCTGAATTTATCCTTTGAAGTAAGGTACAGTAGCTAATGCTTATAATATTCTTTTATTTGAAAAAAAAAACAAACTCGCTTATTTGTTCAGAAAATTTTTTAGTTACTGAAAAAAAAGTGAATCTGTTTTTCTTAGCTTCCATGGGTCAACATTAAGATGAAAGGTCAGGGCTCAGCTTTCAGAGGAAAACATGAGTAAGTAATGCCTGCAGCCCCTGAGCACCGTTAAGTTTCTTGTAGAGTGGAAGCTCTCTCATGGATTTGAAGGTAAGTTTGAAAAATCAATGCAAAGAATATAATCAGTTGCACAGAATGAGGCTGTGAGTACAAGTGAGAGCAAAAGGTTGGCCAGAGATCCCGGAACGTTAAAAAAAATCGCACTGATTTAATCTGGCTTCATGCTGTGACTGCGCTTCTGAAACAGTTATTTGCAATATTCATTTGTCAAAGGCTAGTTGCACCGTAGAAGTAGCTGTGTAACAGTCATAGTTATTGCCAAGTGCTTAAGAACAGTTGGTTTGCATTAATGCCTGCAAACGTCCTTCAGGCAGCAGGCTGCTACTGCCATTGCTGAGGTTCTGCTTAATTACTGCTTCTGAATTGCCAGCTTTGGCACCCAATGTATAGGCACATTCAAGGTCAACTACTGTTCAGCTGCAAATGGACCGTGTGCTGTTGAAATCAGAAGAATTTGCAGGATCAGATGGACTTCACAAAAAGGGAAATCCTTCCTCGAGGAAAGGTTAAGCTGTTTTACTGTGGGCATACTGGAAGATGTATAAAAAAAGCCACATTGTTTCACAGCTGCAATCTAGAAGCATCACCCATACAATCAAGAAGACTAAATGGTAAATGAGTAGGGCACTCAGCAGCAGTGCACCTGAAGAAGTAATCTCTTCTTTCCTGCTCCTCAGCTTGGCTGGGATGCCCAGGGATGGATTGCTTGCTTCCCTGTAAGGCAAAAGCTGAAGGTTGTCAAACAAGCTCTGGGTCTCTAGTTCAGAGCAAATAAAAGGAGGTGCCTCCTTAGACAACCTGAGATGAGGTATGAAACTCCTCACTAAAAGATTCTGTGGATGCTACCTTTGCCCATGGATTTGGGAGCAAACTAGGGAGTTCAAGGAAAAGAAGTCCATCAAGGCATGCTAAATAAATGTGCTGTTTTCATTTTCTTCCTTATGTCTGGCTATTGGCAGAATCAGGGCACTGAGGTGAGTCCTTTGGTGTGGCCCTGGAAGCTCCTTCTTTACTAAGTGATTTCCTTTATGCAGTTCCCTCCATTAATTTGTTCCATTAGAGTCCTTGTCTTTACCTCTAAAGCTTTACACAGTTCTGGTCATCTACAAACAGTCCTTTTTGTGAGGTTCATGTCACCTGGTCCCTGTGCCAGCTGTCTGTGCCAATGCTCTCAGCCTCATCCCGCTTTTTCTCATGTTGTCCCATCATGAGCAGTGAGGGGATGTCCCACAAGGGCTGATGCTAGGTTGTGACAGCAGCAGTAGTGAACAGTGTCTGGCAAGTGCTACACAAGGGATTTAGTTAGAACCATCTTAGAAGTGTGCCAGGTTTGAAGTGTATAGGGGAGTTTGTATCCACTTGTTTATTCCTGTAGAACTCACCTGGGTCAAGGAGGAAATAGCATCATCTCCATGGTCTCTTCTTCCATCAGAGAAAGGCATTGGGAGCACTTGGCCCAGCTGTATGAATGCTGAAGAATGCCCCAATGTGTTCAGCATCCTGCAAGCTACTCAGGCTGTGGCATGAGGGCTGGCTCAGTGCTGCTCAGTGCCACCAGCTTGCCCTTAACCAAGATGGTGAGTCAGTAAAGAACAAGCAATACAATATCCAATATAATTATTTTTTCTTTTTGTAATTAGGGGGCAACAACCTGTGAGTTTTAAGCACTTAATTCCCACTTTTCTTTTCTCAAATATGCCATTTTTAGAAGTACGTAACCACACCACGCTTGCTTCTCCTCTGACAGCATCTTGAGACTGCCAGAAAGATTTTCAGTAACTTTCTACCAGTCCTGCCAAAGGAAAGCTCCTGAAATACACTGTAAAGACTAAATGCTACAGGGCAAAGATGTGTGGCAACAATTTCTATCTGTTCTGTTTTTATTTTTAGTCATGCTGAAAGAACAGGTTGCCAAAAATGGATGCCATGAAAACCATTAGGCAGTATGAAGAACTCTTTCAACTGCTTGGAAGATCATTCAGCTGAATGCAGTCTTGTTGTTTATATGTCTTTTTAAACAATAATAGATAAAAGTAATCATTAAAAAATTATCAACAAGACTATTGAAGTGTTAATTAGTGATTTTATCCATGAACTCAAATTCGGTCCTAATCCCTTGAAGATTTTATGCATCCAATTTTCCTATATGTCTTGTTGAATCTTTTGAGTATTCTGTTCTACCTTTTCCAGTAAGTCTAAGACATGCTCCACATCTTGAGTCACATTTGAAATGTATATACAGCAATGGTCAATTCCATCTTTCAAGTATCCACAAACTCCATGCTTTTTAAGTAAAAGCATATCCAAAGCCAGTCTATGTTTTAAAGTCATCCTTGAAGTTGCCTGTAATTGTAAATTCGCATTCTTAAATCCTTTCCTGGTTGCATTTGCTAGCCTTTCTACTTGTCTTGTTAGTTGATATATCCATTACCCGTTCTTATATATTGCTAAAGGAGTCAGCAAAGATTCCAAAGCCCAACAAACTTTCACTCCAGTTGAAGGTTCATTCCATTCTTCATCTATTTCTGACCTCTTCAGACTTTCTAGTTCTAAGTGTTCTAATGGTCCTCTAAAAGGAGCTCTTCTCCAGACTGAACATAGGGTTGATATGCCTAGTGTTATTTGTTTTACTTTACCATCTGGAGGTAAATGAGTTGTCCAGGTCCCATCACTCATTGTCTATGCTAAGTGTCCTGGGCTTTCTTCACCCTAGTGTAGTCCATCCATGCTTCTGATTCAGCTGTCTTGATGGTGGTGAAGGTAGTCAAAAGTACTTGAAATGGTCCTTTCCAATGTTCTTGGAAGGGTTCAGAAGTCCATCTTTTCATGTAGACATAGTCTCCCACTTGGAAATCATGTATTTGGTTCTCCAAAGACAAAGACCTGTTCCAAACAACCACACTTGAAAGTGCAGTTAAAGTTTTTCCTAGGGAAAGTAGATAGTTACATGCATTTTGTTTTCCTTTTTATATGTGCATTCAAATTTGGTTCTGGAGATTTGTATGGCTTTCCACGTGTGGAAAGGACTAATTAAAGTTCCACTATTAGGTTGAACCTGAATTCACAAGAGGGCCAGTGGGAGTGCCTAAGGCTGTTTCAAATTAGTTTCCTGACATATTTTACTAATCTGTCTTTTCAATGTTTGATTTATTCTTTCTACTGTTGCACTGGATTGTGGCCTTCAAGGTGTATGTAAGTCCTAAGTAATTCCCAATATTTTACTAACACCCTGTACCACTTCTGCAATAAAATGTGGACCTCTATCTGAAGATATTCAAATAGGCACCCCAAATTTCGGATAAGCTCCTGCAATAGCCAATTAATGACTTCTTTTGCTTGATTGGTCCGACAGGGAAAGGCTTCTGGCCATCCTGTAGAAGTGTCAACACCTACCAAAATGTACCGATAGATGTTTTGCTGAGGTAGGTCTGAAAAATCTATTTGCCAGTAATCTCCTGGTTCCATTCCTGATTTCAGTATTCATCTTTGAACCTTTTTCTTTACAACTGGATGGTTTTTCAAACATATTTCACATTTTACAGTTGTCATTTTAGCTATTTCTAGCATTTCTACTGGTACTATGTGTCTCTTTAAAAATGTCACTAATGCTTCTGCTCCCCAATGACATTCCTTATCTTTTGTCTGTATTATTTCCCTCATTATGTGGTGAGATTACTACCCTTGTGATGTCACTCACCATCCTGCTAAATTCTTTTTTGCATTTAGCAACTTCCCTAATTTCTCGTCTCCCTCTGAATATTTAGGTTTTTCTCTTGGTAGAGCTATGGTTTTAATAGGGATTAATGCCATTTGGGAGGCATCTCTTTTTGCAGTCCTCCTAGCTGTTCTGTCTACCGATTTGTTTCCTATAATTTCTTTTGTATTTCCTGGCTGATGTGCTTTACAGTGCATGATTGCCACCTTAATCAGTTTCTGTATTAATTTTAAGATTTCTTCTTTGTATTTAATTCTTGTTCCCTGGCAGGATAATAATCCCCTTTCCTTCCCGAGGACTCCACGAACATGTACCACACCAAAGGCATATTTTGAATCAGTCCAAATATTCACTTCCTTTCCTTCAGTTAGTTCTAATGCTCTCATCAAGGCCATCAGTTCTGCCTTTTGAGCTGAAGTAGTGCAAGGTAAAGAATCTGCTTCTATAACTGAATTCTCAGTAGCCACCGCATATCCTGCATATCCATTTCCGTCCTCCACAGAATTGCTGCCATCCCTGTATAATTCCCAATCAGGATCACCCAGTGGTCTAACCTTTAAGTCTTCTCTACTGGAATAGAAATGTTCAATGGTCACCAAACAGTCATGTTCTAGTTGTCCTTCTTCGTGCATGGAGTTCAAAAAGACTGCAGGGTTAATCAAGTTAGTTGTTTTCAAAATAAAATCATAGAATCATAGAATAGTTAGGGTTGGAAAGGACCTTAAGATCATCAAGCTCCAACCCCCCTGCTATGGGCAGGGACGCCTCGCTCTAAACCATATCACCCAAGGCCTCGTCCAACCAGGCCTTGAACACTGCCAGGGATGGAGCATTCACAACCTCCCTGGGCAACCTATTCCAGTGCCCCACCACCCTAACAGGAAAGAATTTCCTCCTTATATCCAATCTAAACTTCCCCTGTTTAAGTTTTAACCTGTTACCCCTTGTCCTATCACTACAGTCCCTAATGAAGAGTCCCTCCCCACCACCCCCTAGGCCCCTTCAGATACTGGAAGGCTGCTATGAGGTCTCCACGCAGCCTTCATCTTGTTCTGTCACAATCACTTGGTATTTTGTTGTTCTGCTAGGGGACAAACAATTGACACCCCTTTTGTTCTGAAACAGTAATTACCATGTGTGGTACATATGCTGTTATTGCCCTTCCCAAAGTTAATTTTCAAGCTCCTTGTATTAGCATCACTGTAGCAGCAACTTCTCGGAGACAAGTAGCCCGTCCTTTACTTACAGTGTCTAGTTGGTTGGAGAACTACCCAACTGGTCTTTTTCCAGCTTCCTGTTTTCTGATTCAGCACCCTGAGTGCAAGATACTGTCTTTCGTGAAAAAATAACTGAAAATCTTTGGTTAGGTCTGGAAGTCCCAACGCTTGGTGCAGTCGTTAAAGCCTGTTTCAAGTCCAGAATGGCCTTTTGCTATTCTGGCCCCAAAGCCCACATATATTACAGTTTGACTTGCTATCTGAGCCTTATTTCTAGGCCCTTTGTACCCATTTAGTTCAAGAAAGTTTAAAAGGTCTATTGTTACCTTAATACAGGTCTCTTTTCTGTAGCAATCAAGATGTCATCCATGTGTTGTAGAAGCAGATGTCCAGGTTTACGTTCTCAATCTATTTGCTTCCACAATTCCAGCTGTTTTGCCAACTGGTTACTGATGCCTGTTGGAATACTTTTGAATCCTTGTGGCAATCTTGTCCGTGTTAATTGTGATTTTCACCCTGTTTGTGGATTTTCCCACTCAAAACCAAATAATTTTCAGCTTTCCTCCTCGAGGGGTATGCAAAAGAAAGCATCTTTTAAATCAAGCTCTGTAAAGCACTGCAAAGTACTGCGAATCCTCTCCCAGTGCTGTTAAAAGTTTATATGTATCTCCAACTACAGGGTTACAACTAGATGTCTTTAACTATTTGATTTATAGTCCTTAAATCCTGAACTAATCTATATTCATCTGAAGGGCTTTTTTTACGGGCAAAATTGGGGTATTATATTCTGAGTCACACTCTTCAAGAATCCCAAACTTTAAGAATTTATCAATCAATTTCTTGATTCCTTGTCTAACCTCTGGCTTGATCAGATATTGTTTGATTCTCACTGTTTTTGCCTGTTCTTTCAACTCTATTTTTTTTAGGTTGTGCTGTCTTTGACTTACTGGGTATGTCTGTATTCCAGGCTATAACAGCCTGATCTACCTCCTGTGGTATTTGTTCCTTAACTTTCTCCTGTATCATTAATATTTTCCCTGTCTTTGATTCTGGTATTTTTAAAAGAACCTCTGCATTTTCAAGCACTATTTGTACATTTAGCTTGGACAATAAATGTTGTTCCAGCAAAGGTATCAGAAAGTCTGGCACATGTAAAAATTTATGTGTAATTACCTTATTTTCAAATTTCAAATCTAGAGCTTGAAGGAATGGCCTATTTTCTTGCTTCCACTCAATCCGATTATACTGGCCATTTTATTTCCTAATGTCCCTTTGCAAGTGTTCAAGACAGAATATGTTGCACCCATATGTACTAAAATTTAAACCTTATTGTTTCCCAGCCTAATTATTACCAGAGGCTCAGCTGGATTCCTCTCCTGTCCTCTTCACTTGTCTAGGGTCATTATCCTTGCAGCTTCTTGCTGACTTGCCTTTAGTCTAGGGCAGTCTTTTCTCCAATGTCCTTCCTCCCTGCAGTATGCACAATGATCTATCCCCAGAGGTACATTAGATTTTCAGTTATCAAAGTTTCTAAAACCTCCTCTTCCTCTGGCTTGTGCTCTTTACTGCATTCCCTCTTAAAAGAGCTATTAGTCTGCTCTCTCTACCCCTTTTTTTCTTTTCTTATTTTTTTTCCTCGATTGCTATAAACTTTCAATGCTACTTCAAGCATTTTATTTAAATTTCTAGAATCCTCTCCCTGTAATTTTTGGGGTTTTCTTCTTGTATTGGGTGCTAATTGTCCCATAAGAATCAAAGCCAATTGCTGTTGTTCTGTCTTGGTTTCCAATTTTAAATCAGTGTATTTTCTAACAGTCTCCTTTAATTTTTTCCAGAAACACAGAAATTCATTCTTATTCTGTTTTACCTCATATAATTTAGATCAATTTAAAGCCCTTGGCATTGCATGCTTTACTCCATACAGCACCCATTTTTAATACCGATTTAACCTTCTTTTCTACAAAACAATGTTAACTGCAAAATATTATAACTCAAAGTTCTATTTTTTGGCTACTTTTCCTTATTCTTCAAAACATACAAAAGCCACTAGTGGTTACAATATTCAATCATTTGGCGTTTGCATAAATCATCATGCAAATCACCCCGATGCTCTAACAAACATCCTAGCGGCAATGATTTTGGTATCCTTTCATCCATGGTGGTCAAATTTCCAGAACTTTTAAACAGTTTTACAAATCCTGATGTCATTACAATAAAATACATAATCAGTGATTAATGGAACAAATGATAATCATCAAATTACAATAAAACATGCAAACAGCAATCACCAAAACGTGCAACAGTAATGACCAAATACCAAAGCAAACAGTAATTAGCAAACATGCAACAGCAATTACCAACCAAAGTCCAACCCTGCAATAACTTTCACTTATGACTTATGGGCAGACACCCAGGCTTCCAATGCAAACCTTATCTTCAACAATGCACGGCTTTCACTGGGCCTTACAGGCAGGCTTTCCAAACCAAATTCTGAAAGAAGTGCCTTCCCCTTTCTTTTTCTCCAGGGAATGTTGCAAGGAGCTTTATGAGTCAAGGGCAATGTTCCTCCCCAAGAATTCATCGGTGCTGGCTGGAGTTTGATCATCACTTAATCTCTTCCAGTCTCACTCGCAAGGTCCCATCTAGGTCGCCAAAAACTGTCACCGTAAGTTGGGAGAATAAAGCACCTTAATGCCAATGTAGTATTAAGAAGCAGGCACTTCTTTATTGCAGTGCTGGGTGCTAGGTGGAGTTCCTACAGATCAAGCACACCCAATGCCAGTTTTATCATTACATTTATACACAAAAATTACAAGGTAGTACATTCCCAGTTACAATGATTGGTTAGTGATTTACATACAATTATAATATCTGTACTGTCATCCTCTTTTGTTACTACGCTTGCGCACGGGAAGGGTCTTCACCTGAGCAAGGGTCTTCTTGATCTGTGGGTGTGTTTTTTAGTATTATAATGAAGGCAGTTTACTTCAGGTCACCTTAAAAGTAAGTTCTTTTGCCAAGTTGGCTGGCTAGATTTCTACCTTGCCAGGTTGTCAAATAACTTATCCTATAGACAGTAGACCCTAGGTGCTTTGATTATACTCTAGAGAGCAAGGACTAAGGCTAACATGTCACAGAGAACTGGGACTTCAAGCAACACAGCATCTGATTCCAAGTAACACAGCAACCTGTGCTAGCATTAAGGCTAACTTCTTAAGATGTTCCTATGGAGAAATATTTCATAAACGCAAAACGTAGAAAGATTCAGCAAAACTTAAGATAATCTGCAACAACTCTTTCCTACTAAATGCCCAAGATTCTGGTTCCCAGCAGATTTTCCTTGAAGTGTTGGAAGGATGCATAACTGAGGAATAAAAAACAGTGGGTGCCTTTTTGTAGAATCATAGAATTGCTTAGGTTGGAAAAGACATTTAAGATCATTGAGTCCAACAGTTAACCCAGCCCTGCCAAGGCCACAACTAAACTATGTTTCTCAGTGCCTGCACGAGAGTCTGCACATCTTTAAAATACCTCCAGGGATGGTGACTCCACCACTTCCCTGGGCAGCCTGTTCCAGTGCTTGATAACCCTTTTGGTGAAGAAATTTTCCCTAATGCCCAATTTAAACCTCCCCTGGCACACCACTTGAGGCCATTTCTTCCTGTCCTATTGCTTGTTATTTGGGAGAAGAGACCAATCTCCACCTTGCAACAACCTCCTTTCAGGTAGCTGTAGAAAACAATAAGCTCTCTGCTGAGCCACCTTTTCTTCAGTTCCCTCAGCCGCTCCTCACAGGACTTGTTCCAGGTCTCTGAGTGGGATCTCCCTTCTGGGTGTCAGAGATGGGCTTTCTCTGGGGGCAAACACAAAGGACATTTACTCTCTTCTTTTTTCGTGGTGGGGTGGCCCTGCACGTGAATCCTTGTGTGGTTCAAGCACGGTAGCAGCTCCTGCTCAGCAGGGAAGCTGCTGAACTGCATGCACTGAAGGGGAGACCAGCACCTCGAGGAGTCAGTTCTGCCGGGCATTGTTCTTGGGAAGGGTGTATAGGGTACCACACCGGGGGGGTGGAGTGCTGGTGATTGTCACCCACTGCAGCTTCTCTGCTGGACGTTGTTCCCCACAGATGGACCCCAAGCTCTCTTCTTTTGGGTCACTTGGAAAGCAGTGAGTTAAGGAGGATTTGGGGAGAGTTCCACAACATCCTTGATTCAGCCAGAGCCTCCATGTCCCCTTCTTCAGAAGATGTATCAGTCTCCTCACCATACTTGCTGTTTTCTAGTTCAGTTGGTGGGTCCCACCTCTGATGTGATGACACCCCAAGGCTATACTATGCCACCTCCTTATGAGAAAATTAGGCACAGACTGAATGGTCTGAGTTCTCCTTCTTGCCTTACCTGCTGATTTTAACTAAGGATATTTGAGTTGTCTTTAGCTGTCTGACGGCTACAAACCCTAATGGGAAAAAAAGGAGAGGTGTGAACAAGGGAATGAGGCAAATCAGAGCTCATTTGGGGTTTGCAAAGTTGAGAAGAATAGTGTGAAAGCAAAGACCATTTGCCTTTACAATGCTGAGTTTGCACATATCACCTCTGTCATCAGGGATACTGCCTGCTTCTGTTCTTACAGTTAAAACAGTTGCACAAAGTGTCCTGTTCCACTGGTTATGGCATTAGCAAGCTGTGTGGACTGAAAGGGGTGAAGACCACGGTCAACAGACCACAGGGAAGAGGGCTCAGCTACTCAGGAAACCTTGTATTTTATGGCTGGGAAGCAATAAAGCAGAGGATTGGTGAGGAAAAAATGAAGAAAATGTGTGAAACTTGATGCAAGCATTGAGGGAAAGAAAAGGAGAATTTAAGGCGAAGTTAAATTAAACCTGTGCCGGTGGTTGCGTGATCTTCATAAAATAGGCTTGGAAACGGGAGGATTTTTTGCTGATGCCACTGGCGTGTGAGCACCCAGTGCCCTCTGCTGACACCACTGCAGGCAGCTTATGCAATGCACGGTGCTTCTGATCTCCTCATTCCTTTGGCAGCAGGAAAAACCACAGGTCCCCCTCTGGGGAAATGCTGAAATCCACTCTGGCCTGGCCCCCCTGGAGCTCTTGTGGGCGATGCCCTGTGTTCTGCCCATGCCTGCCTGCCCATGTGCATCCCCACACCTTCCAAAGCCCATGGAAACACCCGTGATTCAGCCTTACCAGGCACTGTGGAAGAGAGTCCTGTGTGAGTTGTACAGAGAGGAAACTGAACAAACGAGCTTTTAGGAGCAGAAATTATAACCTTTATTATGGAGGATGTTTTTTTGTCACATGTGAAGACCAGCAGATTTGGGACATTTTTATCCATTGATGCCTTAGAAAGATTTGTGATGGGTTCTATATGTCCAAGAAAGGACTTCAGGCACTGGTAAATTAGATGCTGTGGCATTAACTTTTACAGGCCTGTACCCAAGGCAGGGTTGAAAAGATTGTTGAGAGTGTCTGCACAGGCCAGGACACAGTGCCCATACTCTGCATGGGAAGGCTGAGTACGTAAAAGCCCACCTGGCTCTTATAGGCTGGACACATTCACTGGAAAAATAAGCCATCTGCATTATTTAATGCAAAGACACTGCTTGTCCCTAAGCCACAGTTTGCTGGGAGACTCTTCTGGAGAAGTATCACCTTGGCTTTATCTCTATGTCTGCCAGAGAAAGGCTGTCGTCCAGTTGACTTCAGGCCAGCAATATCTATTCTTAGGTGAGTTTGTGACTTCTCATGCTAAGAGGGGAACTGCATTTACCTTCTCCACTTCCCAGGGACGTGACTTAGCCAGTGAGTGCTGATGTAAAAGCAGATCCCTTCATCCATCCTTTTTTTTCAGACTGTGTCCAGAAATCGGGTGTCTCTGCCTCTGAGAGCAGTATGAAGATGCCCATTGTCAGTTCCAGGCAGCCTGGATGGGTTTGGAGGCACAGGTCTCTTTGTTTTGCAGGGCTATAGCTTCTTGGTCAGCTGAACCTGAATTTAAGTGGAATCTGAAAACTTCTCTCTGGACGGTATCTCCATCTAGCATTCGATGTTCCAGCTTAGCCCAGAAGGAACAAGCCATGGGCACTGGAAAGCATGTTCCTGCCTTGAGAACGGCTTGCCTAATTCCCTGACTCAAGCCCTCGGGCACCACATTACAGTATTTTAGAGAAGCTAAATATCTCCTAAATACCTTTATAAAAATGTTAGCAACAAACCCTAACTGGCATGTACGGAAGAGTCACAGCATGCATGGGATGATCATGTGAAAACCCCATTTTATGGGATGGCTGCAAGCTGTTTCCTGAGTCAGATGGATAGGGGCACTATGGTAATCAAGAGAACAGGTTCCTTGGAACACAAACCCTATTGTTTTCAGCACTGTAAATGGAAAGGGCACTGAATCAACAAACAAGTCACAAATCTCAGCTCTACCGCTCAGCTCTCTTAGGAAATCACAGGAAATTTATCTGAAACTTCAGTATATCTCAGCCCAAAGCAGATTCTCTCACAAGGTGTGCAACAAAGGTGACTCCGAAGAGATGGCCTTGACCATGAAACAAGAACTGAAACTAGAGGAATGTCAGCTGGCCAGGATGAAGCTCTAGCTGAGCGCCCTGTCTAGCTGAGCCCCAGGCCTTCCCATGGAGCCCCTCCAGCAATTTCCATCCTGAGGCATCAGTGTTTGCCTAGGGGAATGCTGCATGGCTCCCACTGCCTTTGGGACTCTCCCTGCCTGGCTCAAGGGCGATTCTGTAATGCAGGGATGGGCAGAGCGCTGGTCTGAAACAGAGGAGAAGGTGGTCGGTGTCCAGAAGACTGTACGGGTTTGACCTCTTCACCACATCATGAGTTCAGTGGATGACCCTCAGTCGAGGGTGTCTGTGTGTGTCTGCGTGTGACTGTGTGCAGGTAGTGTTCACAGTCTGCTTCGCCCCACGATAGATTCATGCCTGGACTTGGTGCCCTCTAGTGTTGTGAAGATCTCAATGTATAAGAAAAACCTGTAAAACAGATTCCCAGCTGCAGAAACCATGGGTTTGCTAAATCATAATACAGTAATTATTTTAATTATGCTATGTAGCTATGACTTAATGGAAACAACGTGATCCTGAGCATATCATGCAGTCACAGTCACAATACCACATACCTCAGGATATGTTTCTGTAGGCTAAAGCTAACATACCAAGGGCCTGAGCTTGCAAAATACACCCAAATCCATTGGATGCACAGCACTTCACCTGACCCCACTATCCCTGCATCTGGAATATTAAAAATCTGGCAAACCCTACACAACCAGTCACTCCTTGTACAGCTTTGCCAACCCACTAAAGCCGGTCTATGTCTGTGCTGCTACAAGAAAGGCAGCCCTGCCACTTTTCCAGGTGGCTGCAGACTTCCATAGCCATGCTCTGGGCAGCCCTGAGGCCCATGGATGTGGCTGTGGGGTGCTGATCTGGCTGGGAAAACCCACCACAGTAAGAGCTATCCAGATCTGCTGGATGCATAAGACGCGGACCTGCAGGAGGCACGCTGCCCCATGGGATATTTGAAGCCATTCTCATCCCCCTGCAGAACAACTCCCGTGGAGCTGGGTTTGCCTGTAGAGGTCATATCCTTACACTGGCTGAAGAGCTGAGGTGTGAAAAATCAGAAGACTTGGTGGGGAACAGTGAGGAAGTTGGCTGCTTTATGAATTTTCATATTAAATTTTACCTATTCCAACTTGGAGCTGATTCAGGCTCTTTCCCTGCCAGTGAGGGGCTCCTGGAGGTACCAGCACACAATGAGCACAGCCTGCACCAGCATTTGCGAGCGTTCCCCTTCCCAGTCCGTTTTTTTCTGGTACAAGATGCTTTGTCCATCCAACCCTCTCCCCATGGAGAGGAGCTCCAAGAAGAGCTCAGCTTCTTTTGCAAGGAGGAACTAGAATGCCATTAAAGGGTGTGACCATTTTAGTTTCCACACACTTGGTGCCAAACATCACTGACCCTCAGAGGGATGTTTTCCTCTTTTTTTGTTTATCCCCCGTCCCGCTATTTTTCCATCCTCATTGTGAATCACATCATGATTGAAATAAAAATCTGCCCTTAAACTAGGATTGATGCCCCCAGAACTGACCAGAAATATAGGACACTAAACTTTATATTTGCAATGTTCTGTTTAAAGATCAATCCTCCAGCTTCTCACCAGAAGTATCTTACAAGGGCACTAGTGAGTCACTAAGAGACTGCTGGAAGAAAGACCACGATGGTGGTGGTGGCATTTGAATGCTGGGGTTCAAACAAGCTTAAGGTTTATTTTCAACCTGTTGCGATTTATAGCTGAGATGTCTGAGTATATTGCTAAATATTCATGGTCTTAGTAGCTATGTCAATCATTAGAGTTCACCTAGAGGATGAATATATTTCCACATTATGCCCTGCAAGCTGTGAAGGGCAACAGAATACTTATATTCCACTAATTAGAAGGCAAGCTAATGCCTCATTCTTTTAAATAGAACACAGAGTAACCTTAGAAGTACTACTCACTCTTTGTGAGCAAGAACCACTGGTGCATTTAATTCAAGAACAAGGCAGAAAATTAAGATAGTCTGTTAGATAACTGACCTGTAAAGACAGGTTCAGGAAAGACAGTGGACTATCCTAGAAATACTATAATGGTAAAAACTAAAACCTGATTCCTTTCCAGTCTTCAGGAGGGACTTGTTTATTCACCTCAATGTGAAAGGTCTGAGTTCAGAAGGAAACAAAAATTTCCAGAATAGCCCAAAGTTTCCCAGTCTGTTGCAACTCCTCCTTAACTGAACTTCATGGTAAATCCATCACGGGAGTTTGGGGTGATCCAGGAGCTTGTTATAATTCTGAATTCTGCCTTGTTTGATATGTATCACCAGTAAATGATCAAAATGAGTAGCAGAAGGAAAAGAAAGCTGCAGAAGGTTTAGGCCATTGATTAAATGATCACTTAATTCCTGTTGGAAATTACCTCAGACAAGATGTGGCAGCAAGCAAGCATCATCTCTGTCTCAAAGGAGCAAAATCTTGCTCTAGCACTTGCCCACCATGATTTTTATTATGTACCAGAAACTCTCCTAATGACTCCCAGTGTCTGGGTACCTTGGAATCACACCTATTGCGGTACTCAAGTTGGATACAAGTGTGGATTTGAAAAAGCAATGACTTCTGCAGACCTGGCTGAGGAATATGCTGCAGTTCTGGTAGAAAGGAATGAAACTGTCAAAAAATGATGGTTTGAAAATTTCTGTTGCTTCTTTCAGCTACAAACACCAATGGAACATCCTTGCAGAGGGGCAAGAGACCACAGAGGTTCAACAACTGCCAGCAACACAGTATGTCTTAGATATGTACATATACCATGAAAGCATGTATGTATGATAGAGAGATGACACTTGGAGATATATATGTAAGATTCTCTTTTATATGACTCTCAGACTCTCAGAAAGAAGGTATATAAAGCTTTATGCTCTGAAGCAGCATTACTTGCAAGGCAATAAGCAGAAATGCCATTCCTGGGGACACTCCATATAAGCATCCCTTATAGTGTCCCATAAAACAATCGGTTTTGTCTCCAGCAGACAAATTAGATGGTCCATCAATCTGAATTCATAAAGCAAGTCATCTGTTCTTATCTCCCAAGGAGATTTTTATGAGGCCTGTAATGGAAAAGACTTCAAGTGACAGACTATTGTATTGTAAAAGCAAACACATGGCTTCTGCAGGACCCTGGTGTTTTTCTGGGCAGGTTTATTACTACATTTTCCTTTCACCTCTGACAGGACAGCTACTTTTCATTGACAGCTCATTGCAGAGGGCAGTGTCATATGATTTGGCATTGTTGAATAAGGCATTATTAGCCAGTGTGGGATCATGGCAGAATAAAACCTCGTTACATGTGCAGATGCTTTAACTCAACCCTTGTTACTGGGGCAAAGGAAGAAACACTGGGAGGAGGACAGGACAAGATGTGGTTTTGTTTTGCTGTCTGGAGAATCTTCCCATAACCCCCTAAGGGAGGATTTGCTTCAGTGAGCACACCAGGTA